ACTCACACACACACACCACACCACACACAGCACACACACACACAAAACACACACACACGACACACACAAACACACAGAAAACACACACACACACGACACACTCGCGCCGCGCGCCACAGCACACAACAAGCACCACACACACACACAAACACACACACACAACACACACAACAAACAAAACGTACACACGCACACACAAACACGCCACACACCACACACCACACACAGCACACACACACACACACACACACACGAAAACACACAACACAAACACACACACACAACACACGACTACACAAGCACTACACACACACACCACACGCACACACTCACACACACACAACAAATACCCACAAATACACACACACACACGCAGGCACACACACACAAACACTACACCACACACACACACAACACACACACACGCACACCACATCACACGCACACACACGCACACACACACGCACACACGCACACACACACTCACACGCACACACAACACACACCCACTCCATCACACATGTACACTCACACACACACCTTCCACACAACCACACACCACACACCGAAAACACGCACACCAACACACACCCACCACCACACACACACAACACACACACACACACACGCACACCACACCACCGCACACACAACACACACGCACACACCCACCACGACACACGCACCACCACACCACGCTACCACACACCACACACCACAACACCCACACTACCACCATCAACAACACATCACCACACACAAACGGCACACCACACACGCACACACACACACACACACACACACACACACACACACACACACACACATCACACACACACACTAGTATGTACTCTATTATTGTCTTGACTGTATATATATATATAGTGAGAGAGAGAGATATACGCCGGCAGGCTGAATAGTACGCTCTACACTTCGCGCCCCCCCCCCCCCCCTCCTGCACGCTTATAACATCAGTTAACTTATTATGTATATATATGTTCATGATATCGCCTCGTTTGAATGCCTCCTGCATGTACATACACACTCACGCCCGTGTTAGTACTAAACGTACAAACGCCTGTATGTAGGCCAGCCCACGCGGTTGTTTTGTATAACATGACCGTTACGGGAGGTGGTAAAGTGACCATGGGAGTACACTGAATATGGTTCACTCCAAACAGAGCGATGAAAACGGCAAAGTTCGATTCAACGGGAGCTTCTCCGGCAATTGCTGATACCGCACTGCCCCTTATCCCTGCTCGTCGCGGTGAGACCGGACCTTTCGTTGTGTGCGGTTCATTGCAGCGGCGGGTCGGTCGCCGGGAGGCAGGTTACGCTTTACACGCAGCAATCGGCGCCGTCCGTAATGACAGTTGTATCGCGTGTTCATCGTAGCATTTCCGACTGTTTTTCGCGCCCCGCACCGAGCTGTCGCCATTGATAGGTTGAAAGTTGTCGGGTGCTCTTGATATAATTAGCAACCAGTCAAGCGCACGAAAAAGCCGCGCTCCAATTCACTGCGCCGGGCTCATCTGCGGTGTATACCCTCGTGCCGCGATCAAGTGACGGTCGACTCTTTCCCGGTGTCAATAGCCAGCGGGCGCGGCTTGTGCGGTTTTCCTTCCGCTCCTGTGATAGACACCACTCGCAACACTTACCGGTCGATCACTTCAACTGTGATTAACGCAGGACGCCCACGAGGACACGTTGGTTGGTGTGTCGCGCATGCAGACAGTAAAGCACCGTGCCCAGCCAGTCACGAAGGAAAGAAAACTATAACTGTTGCTATTCGTTGGTTCGCTGCTCAATCTAATAATTTTTAGTTTTAATGACGCGTTCCCTCTATATATATATATAGTGATACATGGTTAAAATTTATGAAACAGCTGTAGGCCTATATAGTTTAACATTTCTCGAGATTCATGTTGTTGAGATTCATCACGCGGTTTTGTTTAGCGATGCGAGAGATAATGAGGGTATAAGCATCGCTTGCCGGTCATATTATTTTTACGATTGGGTTATATTGAAATGGCTTTAACCTCACACATTTGCAATCAAGGGTAACAGGTTGAATAATTTCTTCAATTAAACGCGATATTGAATTGAAATGATTGCATTTACCGCCATGCATTATCTGCATTGATGTATGGGGCTGACTAAACATTTTTATACACATATAGTACAGACCCAGAAAAGAGACGGAGTTTACTTTTTATATTTTGACAATATTACCAACAAGATTCGAGCAATTTCCTTTCGCATTCATGATCGAATTAGGACTGGCGGGTTGTGCCCGTCAATCGTGGCCACAATGTACATTGATCCGCATATCTACAACCGATGGCTAGTCAGTTGCGAGTCGGACCGGCCTGAACGTAGTGAAGAAAGCCATTATGTCCCGCTATCCTTTCCGAATCAAGTCACCAACACTGATAGCGTCCGTTAACTTCCGCACAGCACTGCTAAACGCGTGCGGCCTCTTTGCTACGTATATGGCATACCACCAGCATCATCGTTACCAGGCCGTGTCGCGCGCCGTCAGCCACCACCAACTATGTAGCAGCCTACTCTCACGCAGTTGTGATCAATAGCCGCTGTTGAATCGGCGGCTCCACTCTTTCCGCGTTCGTGGTGTCCCTTGCCGGAGCGAACTTGAATGGAAGGCCAGCGAGCCAATGCCGCCGTGTATGAACCCGGCCCAAGCATCCTGCCGGGGCGTCGTGCAGCACTCTCTTGCATACCACGACTGACTCCCCTTGCTGCTGGCATTCGCGCTGGTGCCATCTTGTTTGGGCGCTGTCACGAGGCTCCGTGGGACGCATTTTGCTTTGCTTTCAATAATTTTTGGGCTACAATGCGCGAAAACAAAACTCTATGCCAGTCATTGGCGCGCTAACATTGCGCAAACTGTTCACGACCGGGCATTCACCTGCTAAGAGGCTGGCGCCCCACGAGTACTTGCACCTCTTGCTGATGCAGATTTATCGACGTTTTCGAAAGCCGACAAAAATCACCCGGCCAAGTAAAGGAATATGTGTTTTCTTTCGCCAAGTGGCGCAAGCGCCATTAAACGAGCAATTAGCAAACCACGTACGTCGCGTCAAGCAGTTGCGCAGGGCGATTTATGTCGTTGTTTGGGTAAAACTTAAAAAATACAAACTAAACATGGTCGATCACGAGATGATATGCGCTGAAATATGGCCGTTGATAGTTGAGGCTGCCTTCTTAGTGAAAGTTTCCGCCGAGGTAAGAGTTGATCAGGAACATGGTGGGGATAAACTTTGCCCTTAAATACGTCCATAATCTATGTCTAGGCTTACCGGTTTAGTTAAACAACTGGCAGACCCTAGTGCAGTAAGTAACGTCAGATGAATTATCCGCCTGCTCACTTCGTACAAATGACTGGATGGTTGGTGGGAATATACAGTGCGAAACGCTAAATGAACGGAATGTATTGCATTCACCAATAACCTGCGCATGCAGTGAATTTAATTAATGAGTCACAAGTAATCAGCAAAGGCTTACCTTATGACGTGCTGGACGTTGCGAAGCACCTTTCAGCGTATAGTAGCTTAGAGGCTTGCCTTGTATTCTCCGGTTTGCTGGTAACTAAAACAGTCGTCAGGATACCTTGGCGACAGACTGCGTCTTTACTCCATATCTCTCCGGAGATACTTCCTTCTCGATCCGCGCTTTACCAGACGACCTGCCCTGACACAAATGCGGACGTAGCGCCGAATGTTCTTCCGCGCACGGGGGCATTTCGCGAAGTGAAAGTGAAAGGCCGCTTTCTGTTACAAGCTAATCATGAACTCAGCCGCGGTGAATTCGTGCGCGCATTCGTTGTGCTTTGCGCCAATACGCCGAAATAATTGGGCTGTGGTATGCACCGAGCGAAACACGCCCACAGTGCGCCACTGCGATGGCCTGAAAGTATAAGAGAAGCGCACGATAACGGCTATGGCATGTGCTTAACATCACTTCGATAGAAGTCGAGCGAGACTGCCACGAGCCGCTCGATAAGTGGGCGTCTGTTCCTACGGCGACACTTCCTCTACCGAGTAAGTGTGATTATTCTGATAATTTTGGCGAACGTGTACACCTGCAGATAAGTATCCGCCGCAAAGCCACCATGGCGCCCCGGTTCGATTTTCGAGGTGGGCGAATGTAGGGGATTGTTTGCCTCAAATTTTGCATGGAAAAAGGCGGTCTTGTCACTTTAGAACGTGCCGAGAGGAAATTATGGTGCAGGGAAGTTGACGACGAGTGTTTGCTTGCGATTTTTTTCATTATCACGCTGACGCAGAGAAGACTGTCATTGCGAGTGCTACTGCTGCTGGTCGGTTCGGTGTCGCGCGTGCTAGCTGCTTGCTGCTGCTGCTGGTCGTTGGTGGTGGGTTGGTTGCTACTGCGTCTACGGCTCGCTGCTGACTGGATTGGTGAATGTTACTGCCTTCTGACGGCTGCTGGCTGCCTGGTTATTTGTTACTAGTGCTCATATGCTGCAACTACGACTGCTGCTGCCTGTTTGTTGTGCAACTTACGACTGCATGCCTGCTCGTTGTTGCTGCAACTACGACTGTTGTGCTGCCTGTTGTTGCTGCAACTACGACTGTTGCTGCTGCTGTTGCTGCTGCTGTTGCTGCAACTACGACTGTTGCTGCTGCTGTTGCTGCAACTACGACTGCTTCTGCTGTTGCATGTTGCAACTATGACTGCTGCTGCTGTTGCTGCAACCACGACTGCTGCAGCTATTGCTACAACCACAAATCCTGCTGCTGCATAAATCATTAAAAACACACCCTGCTTGCAATTTGAATGACACAACTCTGTAAGCATGTTAATATGCACTCCATAATAATAAGTAACAATATATTATTCTATTGAATAAAACAAAACAAATCATGTAGCGATAATCTTCGTTTTTTCCACCCACCACCTACTATGTGACATAAACAAACATATGGACAAGGGAACGATAAGAAATTACTCAAATCACAACAAACAAGTGAGACCACAGTAGCATGTTAGTTACTAGCCTGTAAATATTTGCAGTATTACCACCTGCACAAATAATTTCATAAGACATTTTAAAATCATCAGTATCTGCAATGTACGGTTCCCTAACTGAACACAATGACACTTACAGGATAACAAAAGACATCAATGTGACATGGAAACCTTTCGCATTGCAGACCTGACATTAACAAGTGTATACACGCTGTCAAATTATACAGATGTCCCACATCACAGATGATATACACTTCCTTAGGACACTGACATATGTTACTCATATACGACTCAGAAATTGGATTAAAAATGGGAGATTATAAATTTATGCAAAAGCAGACACAAAATGCTGCTATTTCAAAATAACTATTTATATATAATTCAACAAAGTGTATAACAGAAATAAAATGTAAAAGTGTAACACGTGTCAACTTTAAGGATTCAGCCATTAATGTATTATAGACAGCTTCTCAACAGGTTTCTGTAGGTGATTGTATTGAAAATAGAGATCTATTGAACAGAAAATAACTATAAACGTACAACACAGTAAATGCAGTAACATTTAGCATAGCTCTAGCATCTTCCAGGTAATTTAAGCTTCAAATATTGATCCCAATATCAGTATACTTTATGCTATTCAACCTGACATTTTTCTGGTCAAACATGAATGTCACACTATTTAATAAGTCATACTGGCTATGGCAGAATGCATTTTAATTCAATTACGTTCACTGCTTCAGGATTACTCCAACTATCCAATAGCATATATTAAACATACACCATGACAGAAATGACATTGATACGAACATTATTGTGTGTAATAGCAATTGCAAGCGGCTTACTGAAAGACAACGTATATTTCTCATGGTTATACAAAATTTCTCTATATAATCAAAACTCTTGATAAATGCACGATGCTTCTTATTCAGCATCACCATAACGGGGTAACATGGCAGTGCCAAGAACGGACCATGATAGCAGCAACACTGGGCAGCTATGCATGTCTAGGATCGTGTAGCCTTGACGATGTAGCCCTTGGACGTGAGAATACCGCGCGAGCGCACAATCAGAGCATAGCGCAAGACCCAGTGCGTCTGCCATCGCTCGCCTGCCTGATCACTGCACGTAGAGCTGACGACTGCTTGCAGCGATTCCGACAGCAGAATGTCTGCAACACCAAGCAACAAATCAGGACAACCAATCGTATCGTAGGAACATTGCATCATTCTATTAAATACAGGCAAAATATCTGCAACATAAAACTGACTGCTTAGGAATAATAATTCTACAGACATTATATTAAATACAAACAAGGTATCTGCAACAAAAAGCGATCACTTAGTAATAATGACCCTATGGATCATATTACAAGAAAAATTTCCACCCTATCAAGCAATAACTTAGGAATAATAATCCTATAAACATTATAAGCAAAATAACTGCAACACCAAGAGGTCACTTTAACACTGACGATCACAGCAGAGGCAAAATACCCGTGATAAAATGTGACGGCATAAACATTAAATTTAGCTAGAATACCTGCAACACGATGCAATCGCTTAAACATTGAATTGTAGGCAGAAACGTATGCAACATAAAGAGATAACTGCTTAGCCTTAGGAGAAACAATCGTGTGAACATCATATTAGACCAAGAAAAGCATTTCAGTGTCTGATGCATCAGTATCAATGTGTATGCTTGGTTAATCGAGCGCGCGTACTTCTCTCATCACTGTGCGACAGCAGCTGAATGTCATGTTGCTTGGCAAACGCAACTAGGTCCTCAGGCATCACGCAGCACAACACCGAGTTCCAGTGATCAATGTTTGGCTTCACCTGAAAACAGCAGATTCTGGCAGATGATCGATTGCAGATGCAGGAGGCAGCAGTAATGTGGCCTCGACTAGAACACGTATCATTCAACGTACATGTGAAGACCATGCCAAATTTTGTTATACCCCCCCCCCCCATTGCGATAACTAAGACTTACGTAAATTCGCACACACGTAAGTTATGACCATTTTTATTGCGATACGAAACGTAAACTCGCGTTATGTAATTCTTCAAAGAAATAAACAGGGTTTTTCAAACAAAAACTCCCTTTCCTGTGTGATTCAGGTCACCAAATTTCGTGATGCTAACATCCTTTCCGGAATGCATTACCGTCTTAACACGGGCTATTTCTGTACCACAATTTGCTTCCAATCACTAGTGCCATCGATATCAGCTTACAGTAATTGTCGTCGACCGCCAACAGCAATTAACCGAGTATAGCGCCCTCTGTTACCATGTCCCGACTACTATGAACCGCCTAATTGTCGCACCTTCGCCCAGTTGTAAAGCTGCTCGAGTGTTTCCTTCTGCAGGTCGGCGATGCCGAGCGACAGTAGGAGGCGCTGTTCGACCATGCCCTCGAGTATGAGCCACAGCGGCTTGATGAGATCGAGCGACATCTCGTCGTCGGGCGTGTCCGGACACGCGAGGATGAGCACATCCAGCTGAGACACGCCCAGCTCACAGAGCGCTGCAAACACAGTCAGCAGTCAGCAGAGAGGCACGCCTGAGCACGCAGGGGGTTGCAGCGGCAAGATGCGAGAGCGTGAGGGTCACACCAAGGGGGGAAGCTGTGGCTACTGAGAAGTGAGAACAGGGCAAGACCGTTCGGGAAGATGGGAAAGCTACCGAGTGTACGAGTGACAGAGAGTGAAAGCGTGTGTTTCTGTGTTAAGCATCACGGGGAGGAGGAAAGGTGGGAACATACAGCTTTTAATAAAACATTAAGTGATACACAGATCACATGAAATCAAAATAGCAGGTGATGAACTAATTAAATCACAGATACGGCAGACATGTTTCAGTGTGTGAATCTATGCTTTTAAATAGTTAATGAAATTCTATGGTAAAAGACAATATCAGCAGGAATTTAACGAATTGTGCTCTACCTCCCCGCAATATGTGGTCACCGCACATGGATGTATGGATGCAAGAAGCATCACTACCTTGTAATGTATAAACACTGGCGAATGATATACAACACATAAACCATACACTTACTTCGTTTAACACCTTCTTTAATTGCTTCTGGGTCCCATTGTGTCATGAATAGTTTAACTGCAACAAAGTATGGTGATAGCATATTGAACTATGTGCAACAAAATTTATTACACATATATATGCAAGTGCTTCCCATTACACAATAGTAAAAAACTCAAGAAATGCTCAGGTCATCACAACAGCTCATCACATTGCACTAAAATAATGTATGCAACAATTTGTATATATGCTATCAGCCTTTAAATTTGTCTGCATGAAGTACAGTAAATAATCTATTAACCGTAATTCTGAACACCGGAAAGCTCTGAAAACCGAAAGTTTTTCGTGTAGGTCGATTGCACACCAAAGCTCGCGTTTGGCTGTACAAGACTCACTGCAGAAATATTAATGTTTGGCATTAATCATAAATATTGCAGTGTACTGGCACAGCACTTGGCCTCTTGAAAACATGGGTTTTAATCCTTGCTAGTTGCAGAATATACGGTATGTATATATCTGTACTGTACTACCATTCCGAAATCTGGAAAATTCCGAATTCCGAAACGTGTCTAGTCCCAAGGGTTTCGGATAATAGATTGTGTGCTATATAAATAAGCAAGAAGAAATGTCTCATTACCTGTCAATTTCAGTTGACTACGTTCTGCATCTGACACTTTTTCTATGTATGTGCCGTGGCAGGCCTGCACAGTAGTCTGTGCCTGTAACATATATCACAACAGGGCTGTCTATATTTTTTATTATTATTCCTGCAAAGAGATGATATAACCCGAATTTGTGTTATCATTTATAGTAACACGTACCAAATTTGAAAACCTCTAACTGCTCACCTGAATTTCCTCATTGTTTACCAAAGGCGACCATGCTTGCAAGGTTGCTCTAATACTCTCTACCAGCTTCAACATAAAAAAAAGACAACAGATGTTAATGGTTATTAGTATTACACGGAGGTAATACTAACAAGTGCCGCAGTGCGACAGGGCTCATCCGGTGCCTGGTGTTCTGCTGATAAATTCATTTGTGCATAGCAAGACGTCTTATACATAAGTCTTCTTTATTCTTGTTTGACTTTCGTAGCCAATTGGAACAAATATATCAGCTACACTTTCGCACCCACCTAATCTCTATGCATTGCAGACACATGTGCATTGCAGGTTGGCAGGCAACAATTATGATTAGAAGCGTGCCAGCCATGGGCTGCCCCGTGTTTTTGCCTACCCACACGAGCATTAACTGATTCAGACTTCAGGGTGCTATAGACAGACTGCTTTAGAAAATAATATGATTTAAGTAGCGTAAACCTTGTTCAACAAACATTTGCCTTTGCAATTAAAGTGTACAACTGTAGCCTCACATTCACACAGGTATGGGCTCTAATAATAGCAAAAGCAGTTCAGTCCTTTGTTAACAGTCAACAAATCAATGTTTAACCCTCCTCTTGAGGGTCAAAAGATTATCCGACACTTACTCTTCGCATGTCAGCGGAAAGTACATTTCACGGTTCTTTCAATAAAGCCATGAAAATGGTAGGTCACCGCTAAAACAAAAAAGTTTTTCAATCGCTCCGCCAGACTCGGCACAGTGATGGCTTTTCCTACCATGATGCTATACACCGACTATCACAAGCCTAGGTCGAGCCATTTAGATTTGTGCCGCAATTCTGCCATTTCTTCGTATACCTTAAGTTAAGGAGGGAATGTTCCCCCTTTTTTTACACCTCTTGACCTTTGACCTTTGACCCCCAGCTTCAACATCCCAACTCGTTTTGGATTACCCCCCCCCCCCGCCGTCCCGAATATCGTGAACGTACGTCGAGCGGTTAAGATTTGTGCCCAACTGTTGACGGACGCACGGACGGCCGGACGGACAGACGAACAATCATGCGATTCTACAAGCTGCACCTGACTACGTCAGATGAGCTAATAAGGAGGAGTATCCATACTGAGGTAACAGTTGGCAAGTATGTGTAACCGGTTGGGAATCGGGTATGCTTCTTGTCGATAGGTGGCAGCACGTGATTGTCGCGGGCGGGAATGAGCTCCCGGATTCGCGCGCAAAGCTCACTTCGACTGTAGGAGACAAGGGGAATGGAGCTGTGTAAAATTGGGATCAGGAGTAGAAGGACAGGGACTCGGTAAGTACGACTGAAAAGGCGAGTGTTTGTGTTAGTTTGTAAGCATGTGTTTATATAGTGTTTATGTTGTATCAACTTCTCATGTAGTGTAATGACTGGAATAGTTAAGTCACTAATCACGTTCCGAGACTCAAAATGTTAGTTTCGTTTGACGCTCCGTGTGCCGTGATTCCAGTAAAGTTATGGAACGATACAAATGATGTTGTACACAGAGAAGGAGAGAGATAGATATGAAGACGTTACAATTTTGTTATGACGCAGATGCGTACATAATTGTGTCATTTCTTGTGTCTGGCAGTGATTTCTATTATTGAGTGGCAAACGGCTGGCTAATGTGTGCTTCGTTGCACATCAAAGCTATTTTCACTTTTATTGTCCACCAGATGTCACTACGATACAGCATTGATATTTATGTGAAATTGAGTGTAAGGAGTAACCACCTTCTATACTAGCTTTCTGTCATTAATTGTTCGAGCAATACGATACGATTTCTGTGTGCGATCAGTGTATGTCTGGTCTGTGTCAGGAGTATACGTATGGGTATATATATACCATCGATTGCATGGTTATTAGCTAGTAGCCACTCTGGCTAGACTTAGTTTCTGTATACTGGACGGAGGGCCGTATTGTATGGTAGGTGGTCTGCCATAGCCCCAGATGCTACCATGCCAGATGCCAGATGCAGAGCGTTCTATTTTAGTTAGCTTATGTAACTCATATGCGATCTTATACATTGCCTTGAACAGGGATAGCCCAGTTGGGCTGGTGTAATCTCGGATTGTGGACTTGGCCATCTCCAACTTAATTGCTACTATACTATCAAGATAGGTACATATAGGCCAAATCAACATGTGTGCACTGTAAGGGTGGCATGATTGTTGTTAACTAAGGTCTTACACAATGTAGTCTTTAACCAGGCTGTGGCTAGACCTTGTTTGGATTAGAAAGGTTAACAGTTATCTTGATTGTGCTTACCTATGGAGGAATAGACATAGTGTCTTATGTACTTGTGCAACATGGGTCTAGGGGTAAGGAACCTTGCGCTGAGCGTGCTATGGCGAATATGGCTAAGATAGGTCAGCAAGTCTTGTATGGTGTATGGTTAGACCAATGGGTAGATAGCCAGGTCTATTTTGTATATATGTTAGAGTATTTCATTTTTGTTGTTGTTGCAGGACACCGCTCTGTCTTCTCTCACGTTTTCTTCGCAATAAAGAAACCTTGTACACTGCAGTTGTGGGTTCAGTGGTTTGTTTGCGCAGCATCCTATTGCCAGCGCGCGCGCCCTGTACGCTCACCACATTTTGGTGCAGTCGACAGGATTCCTGCAGTCGGAGTCACAGTGCAACAAAGAGGGAGGGAGAGCGGTAGAAGAATATGCCGGTAGGACGAAGTACGGATAGGACTGAGGCTGGCAACGATCAGCCAGCTGGAGATCAGCCTGGTGGTGTCCCGAAGGAGCAAGCTGTACAAGCGCTGGAGGATCTGCAGGGCTTGGTCAGAAACCTGCAGGATGACCAGAAGCAAGTCAGTGACACCATCGATCAGCTGGGGTCTAACGGGCAGCAGCCTCCTGCTCATGTCCTGGTCTACCTTCCCTGAGAGAGGAAGGTTGACGTCTTCACGGGCCATGGTCAGGGACAGCCCTCAGTGGAGGCAGGGAACAATTTCCAGCCAAAATTTTGCATAGCAAATGTGCTATACAAAATAAATTTTGCATAGCAATTGGATAAATTTGTATAGCATTTTTTTTCAGACAATCACAGTGCAAATTTACACCGCAGTGCATGCTTGGCGTGTTATCGTGTCTGCCTGTGACAGGCACAGCTAGCTTAAGCCTAGGACACACTAGCGATTCTGCACGCTGCCCGACAGCGTTTAAACAGCGTGCGAGCTTGGCACTCGTCCGCTCGCCAATGTCGAGTGAAAATAATATCGGGCCGGGCGAGTGAAAGCTAAAGCTGACTCGCCCATGTTGGCGAGTAAAAATAATTGTCTAGAACTTTAATCAAATGTTGGTTCCTTGCGTTATATATCCAAACATTGATGAAATACAGTTCTAGCGATTGTGAAGGGCGGCTATCTGACTCCTCGACCACGACATCCTCACTTTATATTATCAAAGGTCGCCGAAGAAAGCAGCCCGCGCGAGCGTGCAGCGCCAGCACAGCGTGGCTGTGTATACGTGCCTGGGGCGGCATATTGATTGATGTACGGGGGGGGGGGAGTGCAGGATTGTTTAAAAGTCACGTTGGCCGTGGTGTTAACAAATCAATAAAATCGGCGTAACGTGGCATTTCATTGACGCGGCAAAGCAGCCCGAGAATAAAAGTAAATTGTAAACATGTATGTTTCCGTTTACATCTCGCATGGGCTGCATCGCACAACTGCGATTCATAAAAAAAAATATGCGTAGCAAATGGCTGAAAATACATCGCGAATTGCGATGCGATACCGGGAAAATTATTCCCTGGGAGGAGTTCATCCTTGGCGTCCAGCACCTGCTGAAAGCCAGGAGGCTATCGGGGACCGAGGGAGCAGACTTTGTTCTGAGTCATCTGGGAGGACCAGCGCGGCAAGAAACCCTGCTGCGTCCACATGCCCGAACAGCTGAGGAGGTCTTTAATACTCTCCGTCACATCTTTGTGGAGGCGCGGTCCGTACCTCAGCTGTTGCGAGCCTTCTATGACAGAAGGCAGAGGGATGCTGAAAGTCTTAGGACGTACTCATATGAATTTTACTCCCTGGTGTAGAAGGTCAGAGCCAGGGACCCTCGGGCCTTCTCGGCCTATGAACAAGCTCTCCGTGACCAGTTTGCTGAGGGAGTGCGGGACACTCAGCTTCGGCGCCACTTAAAGCAGATGGCCCGGGAGAGACAGAACATAAACTTCCTCGACCTCCGTGAGGAGGCAGTAGCGTGGATGAAGGAGGACGAGCGGCGGCAGGCAACCCCTAGGGTCGCGGGTTGTCACCAGCTACTGTGGGACTCCTCCCAGCAACCTTCTCTGCCAGAGGCAGTGACACCACCAGGAGCTGACATGACCCAACTGCTAGCTGCAAGGGAGCGGCAAGAAAGGGCACTGGCTGACCTAACCAAAGCAATAAGGGACATGGCTACTGCCTCAGTTGCTCCATGGCCAACTCGCCCAACTATTAAGTTTTCGAGGACAGACAAAGTGAGTAGGGGATGTTATGAGTGTGGAGTAGTTGGCCATTTTGCCCGGGACTGCCCCACCAAGCAGCACCAGGCTACCACCTCTCAGCCGTTGGGAAACTAGAGCCTGGCACCATTGCGAGCCATGTGGTGTCAGCCGGTCCGGTTGGGTCATCACCTGTGTCCCAGGAGCCGTTGCTGCAGAAGGCAATTGGAGCATGCCCAGTGACCGAAGTGGAGGTTGGTGGTGTGGCGGCTCATGCCCTGCTAGACAGTGGCAGTGAAGTTAGCACCATCACAGAGTCGTTCTACCGGGAACACTTTGACAGCCAGGATCTACTGGGGACTACACACTGGCTAAAGCTAACTGCAGCAAACGGGCTGGCCATCCCCTATGTGGGATACCTGGAACTGGATGTGTTGTGTGCTGGTCACTCGGTGCCAGGGCGGAGATTTCTCGTCATAAAAGACTCCCAGGATCCCACTACGAAAGAGAGAAAGGACAAAGTGCCAGTGGTGCTCGGGATGAACATAATAGGCAAGTGCCACCAGGTTCTCCGTGAAGAGTTGGGAACCGCCTTTCTTCAAGAAGTTGAGACCTCCTGGCG